CAATGGTCCTACCGACTTCCCGCACGATTGTCGGCGTTGGAGGAGGTCTTTGCTGGGTGATTTGTATCTTTGTATCATCTGCTAACTTCTTTGTTTTATTCGCCGTTGTTGGCGTCTGTTACACAGTTTCTTTTATTATTTTCATTGTGGGATGAGGACCTTATCTTTTCTGCAAAGTTCGGAAAGTGCTTGCACGGTCATTTTTACCGTTCCTTTTTGGTTAGTTTTTATGCTGCAGCGGCTGGTGCGCTTGCTCTGGTAATTTTAATAGTTTGTTTGTGCGCGTTTTAATGATCACTTATTTAGGTGATAAATTGTGACAACGCACCTTCTAACGCAACACGAATAACGTCTTACGATGTAGTTGGAGTAGCTAAACGGCTTTTTTCTGCTTCACAGACGCGCTTCAACTCGTGTGATGCCCTGAGCGGCGTTTGAGACCGCTAAATAAACTGCTCTGTATTTGTATATGCGTGCGTTGTTATTTCGTTGTCGTTGCAATTGCGATATCTGGATCCCGATTTGCAAGCAGGCTGACCGTAATGAATTTCTTCAGCTGTTGGGTTGACGAGACTGGGCTCACAAAGCTCGAGGACGTCGCGGACGCCATACCTTTTTATTGTGTCGTCAGCTTCCTTAAACTCCGAGTCCGGTAGACGCGCCACTGTCACGTTCGCCGTCGCTCCCCCGGGGGTTCGGAGGAGTTTCGAGTATTGTCGAAGCTATATCCTATTTGCTAGGGTCTGTACTAAGTTTGAAATATTTCTCACAAATACAACTCGCTATCTCGAGACATCTAGTTATCGAGCTAGTGATCTAATTGATCTTGCTGTCAAGCCTTTTGGGATGCGTTATTTCATATATTTATATATAAAAGACAAAACAAACATTGCATGAGGAATCGATTTTGGACACACCAGAAACACTCGCGCCGCGAGTGGTGATTGGCCTCTTGAAAACGCACATGACCTCTGGCCAATTCTGGCCTAGGCTTCTCAATTAATATAAAACATACTGACAATCCATCAATCAGTGTATATTGGTGAATGTACATTATGAAAGTTATTGCAAACCATCTGAGCCAATGGTCACTTGGCTAGCTTCAATCATTTCAATATAAGCTAACATGATGGCTATAACTCATACTAAAAAAACACATGCGAAATACGTTGAAATCAGCATCATATAGGGTTAAGTAGCCATCCAATGTAGAAAACTTTTCCAGCGTTTTCTACATTGTCTTGTCATGCAAGCTTCATGCTTGTGTGAGCCTTTGTCTTCAGGCTTGCGCTTCTTCCAGGTGTGATTCTGCTGGCTGATCCTGGTATAGGTACAGAAATACGCAGGCGTACAATTGTACACTGGTATGCCTGGTACCAGAATTGGTTTCCTAATGGCCGTGGCCAATTAGAAGAACAGTATTGGTTTATAATTATAAGTGTTTCTCTATGATGCCAAAATTTGGGGTTTATTTTTCTCAGAGATTCGGTGTTTTTCTTTTTTGTTTGAATATTTTTTTGCCGGATAAAATTCAGCGCATGTCGGGACCAATGTTGGAAAAACAGGAGGCTTGCGCAGGAGTCCCCAACTTCCAGGGCACATTGCAACATACGCGTGTTTCAAGTACTTAAAAATTATCCTGGTAGCAATGAAAGAAGGGAATGACGAGGTTTGCTTCAAGAAAACAAAGCAGCCTCACGGACAGATGTTTTATATTCATTTCTTTGAAATTCCGTTCTCGCCCATTACAAAACTTAGTCGCAGATCTCTTTACGAAAACTTACCTCAAATTCAATAGGCGTGTGGATGCATAGTTCAGTGAGACCAAGCATGTGATCTGAGCATATTCAATCAACATTTTTTATCGTTTTTAAAAGACATAGGAAAGATACCCAGGGCAGTTTAAATATTATGAAACTAATGTATCGATTCGCAGTTTGTACCTACACTTCTTGGTTTGTGCACATTTGCGTCCATTGTCGAGTTGATGTGCGAAAGTCATTCTTAGAATGGTGTTTGTTTTGTCTTTTTTTCTGCCGAGTGTTGAACCAGGTACCAGGATTCTGTGAAAGGAGAATCTTGTGTTTCGCTTTAGCCAATATGATGTTTTTGTTTGAAATAAAAAAAATATAAAAGGAATATGTTTGAATCATTGTAAGACATGTTTTAACTCTTTTTTTTTATTAGTAAGAGGAGTGAGTATAGTCACTAAAAAAAAAAGGAGTGACCGCTCTTAACAATCAAATACCTCGGAGAAATTTCTTAACCGGGGTTTTGCATTCGATCAGCAGATATTCAACTGAACAGATTATTAACCCGAATGAAGTCTAAAAACTGCTTTGTTTGAAATCTTTGTTTTTCGAATCGAAAATGCCACTCTGAAAGACCATTCGAATCAAGAGTAAACGCGAAAAAAAAAAAAAACGGTTCAACATCTGTGCCTGTATTGTTGAGATTTCAGAAAACTTTGTATGAGCGTCATGCTTGCAAGCCCATTGTTTGTCTATTCCCTCTCCATATTTTTATGTTATTTTCTCTTAATCCTTGTTTTAATTTTTGTATTAACGGTTTTTCATTGTGGTGATGTCACCTGAAGCTGACTATAAGGAGAGTTGCACATGACTTAGGGTAGAGTGATACTTTAACTTGTATGAAGTGAAGAAGTATTTGGTAAGCTCACTCTCTGCACTCAATTTAGTCTATTCAATTTGCACGTTGCACTTCCATTTTGGCGAAGCTCAATAAGTCTTCTAATAAGTAGTTATTTGTTAATATTTAAAACGCAAGAAGTGTCAACAAAGAAGAGTCACTGCATGGTTTACCAGACGGCGTGACGATATTCGGGGCTATTTCCTTCATTTAATATTTTATTTGTCTGTATTTACGCATGCATTCAGACAAGTGTACTTAGCTCGGAAAGCACAATTTTCTACACGATAAAACCGGTATTTGCTTGTTGCGGTGGCGTGGAGCGCCTAGAACAAAATTCTCAGCCGGGAGCGATAATAAACAAGTGTTGCTTAAATTACCTTTTTCTGTTAATATTACATTGACATAATCCTTATTCGGCCAGTATTAATTTTAGACCACGGCTTTGCTATGATTTGACGAGTATTCAGTAGAAAAATTGAAATTCACATTACTTGAGTGGTTGTTTCATTCCCAACTTATAACCATTTTCGCATCCTCCACAATACTTTACACGCAACACTAGCACACGTAATGCATAATTAATTACCATTCTAGAGTATACAGGTTGTGCAATTTTAATTCCGACATATCTTTTTTTAAGGAGGAGAGAGTTTGACAAATGCCTCCTTTGCCATGTATGTATCAGGCTTGGTGGACATGAAATGAGGGTATAGTTGTCACGGCAAGTTGGCAAACTGACTAAAATCCGTTAAGAAAACGTTTAAATTATTAGTTTTGGGTGTTATGTTGCAATTACTCTATTGATAGAGATTACTATTCAGGCGAGATTATTTAATTTCCGGAAATGTAATATATCAATTACACTTGCACAAATTGCTTCATCGCTGTAAAAGTCGCTTCAGTTGCGTCGTCATTGGTTCGTCTCTGCAACTACCAATGACAGGCTGTCGAGATAATGACAACGTAATTGAAACGACGACGTCGCTCTCCCAACCGTCATTTTGGACAGGTGTCGCAGTGCTCTTTTTCCGTGGACTACTTATATCGGTCTGAAGACTCGAAGATTCGTTAAATAGTACCTGAAAAGCTCTTTTAGATATTAGTTTATCAGTTTTAGCATCCCTGCTTACACTGACGCTGGGAAGAGCGAAGCAGTCGTTTCAATTCTGTCGTTGCTACACCGGCAGCGTGTCATTGGTAGGCGCGCCGACGACACGAGTGACGACGTAACATGAACGATTACTTCACTCTCAGCGTCATTCAGTGGAGGGCTGCCTAGCGCTTTGTGGCCGCTCCGCAATTACATTTTATCCACTTGTTTTACTTGGTCTGGCTGTTTTTAGTAATTGTCGTTTATAATCACAGGCAGCAAAGACTCGAACTTATACTTTATTAGTTTATTAACGAATATTAGTTACTTATCCAGTTTGCCATGACGATTATTGACACGTCTATTGTCCGTGGAGCCTGATAAATGCATATTGCAGAGGTCACTTTTCTTACTCTCACCCTTGTTTATTAATGCGTCTTAATTAAATAAAATCAACAAACCCGTTTATTTTGAACATCAATACGGTATTTTGATGATATCGTGTAGAACTCTTCTTGAACACCTTCACAAACTTGAAATAATTGGCACATTAGCAACTATCTTTAAACGATACAGAAAAAAAAAGTCAAGAGAGAGTGAGCATCAGTTAGAAGAAGAAACAAAAACCTCTATATGGAGGCAGCAAATTATACCATAACGTAGAGTGTATTTTCAAATAAAAACCTCTGTCTTAGTTTTTATTCTAAAATGCACTGTGTATCTGATATTGTACATTTCTGTAAAAATCGCCTCCGAAGAACGCCTTGTAGGAAGTCAACCGCAATGCAGACTGCATAAGATCAGATACATATTTTGTTGCACATGATTCAATAATGCTCTCCTAAATGGCCGCCATCTGGCTGTCCGGCACTCGGAAAAATATTTTGGTCACATCGGCAAACGTGTGCACAAAGCCCAACTAAGAGGCCGCTCTCCAAACTTCCAGACTGTGCAGTCCTGACGTTCGAAGATTCCGAGATATGTACGGCTGCGTTGTGCTTAAAGAAAAAAAAAAGACTAACAAATAAAACAAAAAACAGCGTTTCCCGTTTTCAGGACTGATGAGGTACCAATGCGTCATGTATCAGATAATATGCAGACTCTTTAATGTATTTACAAGAAAAGCAACCAAAACCGTGTTCCGAGCTTTCAGCACAACGCTAGCACGTGATGAGCAGCTTGTGTGGAAGGCTATAACGCGCTTTTGTTTTTCATGTGGCACATACCTGGAGTTCCTCGATACACCTGAAAAGTAGACATGATCAAGATGACGATCTTGCCCCTTTCGGTCGTACTTCTCGCTGCGTCAGGTTATTTACATGGTCAGTTGCCTGCTGAATGCTGAACATTGGCTCCTGTGGACTTTTTTCTATACGTCATACGTTCATTGTTCTTATTAAGAGTAAATCAATTGATTCACCTAACAGGCCCAAATGGCTTCCTAATTGTAAGTCCTAATTACCTTATCTTTTTTACGATTCTGAATTAAAGGTAAGTGAAACGAGTGCAAGAATGTATGATTGGGGCCTTGAACGGCAAACAAAAAATAAAACGCATGTTTAGCAAGTTTTAAGAACATGTTCAAGAAACGTAACTATTAGAGATATCCTCACCTCAAAACTTGCAATACATGCACTTCAATTTTCTTTTTTGTTTTGTTTTTGGCTTTAGGTGCTAAGTTAAGTATTCCTGCACTCATTGCGCATACATTCAATAACAGAAGGGTAAAAAAATATAAGGTAATTATGTTATGTTCCTCGACATTACGTTCTTCGAAATACGTAACCCCGAAATGTTATTAGTTAGTGTCGTCAAATATAAAACGAGTTCATTGGAACACTACCAAAAAGTAACGGGTTACCGGTAACGCCCTTACTTCTAACGCGCTAGCGCCAACACTGAAGTTTCATAAATGCTTCTTTCCCCCAAAAACATCCCTATATAAAAACGCGGGTACCTCTCTTAAGTTCAAAAGATAAGTCAATAGGAAAATTGGGACTTCAGTACTACGTTTTGCATTGTATTTTACCTCGGTACATTAATAAGGTTTTACGTTTTGGTAAGCGTTTTAATCATATAAAAGTATAAAAAAGTGTTGAAGTGTATTGCTTTCACTTCTTTTAAATGACTCTCTGCAAACAGGAAAACAATATACACAAAACTTTCGCCCAAGGTTCAATTCCGACGGCGTCTGTGACAGCGGTATATGCAATAGCGCATTGTTTCGTAATATCAAGCCTATCTCTTTTCTTTTAATATAGAGACAAGTGCTAATGATTTACAATATTAAACTAAGGTAAAAATAGGGCTTTATTTAAAAAAGATATTCAATATCTCTATTTAAATGTCGTTTAGTTTGCTATGAAGCTGAAATCCATATATGTCCCATTACGCGAAAAGGCGGCGTCTTTTTTGTGCCCGAAAGCTGAACATACAAAGAAGTCATCAAGCACACGCCGTTCAAAGTCAAACCGGACGCGCCTCAGAAATAAAACACAAAGAAAATCACAGCAACGCGGATGCTTCGTCACAGAAGGCGTGAAGCCGGCGGAAGCGTTCAATGTCAAAGCGGACGCGCCTCAGAGATAAACACCAAAAAAAAACCCAGCAATGCAGATGCTTCGTCACGGAATCCGTGAAGCCGGCGGGACCACCGCGTTAGCGCAGTGGGGGAGCCTGTTGTCATCGCAGGAGCGCCGTGTGCTAAAGAAAGACGTGGCGTGCAGCGTGTTGGAATGCTTTTGCATTCCTACACTTAAGCAATCTTAAATGTCTTCCGCGCTTTTTTTATTTTAATTTTATTGTTGTGTCTAAATAAACCAGTAAAAAAGCTTATAGAAAGAATAAATTTTTTAACTCTTGCTTCTAAGTTTCATGCCGCGGTTTGACGGAATTTCGCATGAAATGCCGTGTTCTATAAGCACGTAGGGTTCGAGGTTCCTACGATAGAAAACAAAGCACTTTCTTTTTTCTTTTTATGAAATGAAAGTGTGTAAATTTTCCAACTCCTCAGATAAACGAATCAATTATCAGCTCGGACAGATGTTGCCTCTGCACTCTGAGCATAGCTATCATGCAATACGACATTATTTAGCGCATTGAGCTATACCGGGCACTTTGCTCAGCTCGCGTTTCAGAGAACTTGGTGTTTACCCAACATAAGCCTCATGGACGGGATGCTTCGCGTTATCTCTATCGATGAAGTGCGAGGCACAAATCGGAGTAACACTTCGTTACACGCACAACCAAAGCACGGCAGAAGGAACGATCGTGTACTGAAGGGGAAGCATCGATCTACGCAGTTCTTGACTTGTCATCGACTGTAGGCGAACGGTGATGTACAAAAGGTCATTAACAAAACTGTAGCGATAACTTTTGCCAAGGGTATTTCACTGGGGGCCGTGTAGGGCACATATATGACACCAGATTGCGGCAGCGTTCGGCTGGTACATGCCAATGACCACTAAGCGAACAGGCCCTGTCTCTGAAGTCGTCGCCAGCGGGCCACCTAGCCATACAAGTAAGAAATTGTAAGTCCTCGGCAAGAGTTTAGCAACAGCAGACTCTTAAAACGATCTAGGGCCAAAAGGACTCGGTAGTTGTACGAGGCGTTAATCATTTTGTCTAGTGGGGATGCCTGCGTCAACGCGCCGGCAATTGCCATGACACACAAATACCTCAATCACTCCATCCTCATAGCATAATGGACTGCGTCCTGCTATTGTCTTTTAGTTCATATTTTTCCCAAACTGGAAGACAGAGGCTTGACGACTGGTTTCAATTATGTTTATATTAGAAGCGACCCGCGCTGCCCCGAGCGGGCAGCGCGAGATATTGGCGACGGGGGTGATGATGACGATAATGAGGGTAATGGCTGCACGGGATGTGGATGGGTCACATTACCTCCCCCCCACCCTCTTCGGGAGGGGAGGAGGTTTAGGAGGGTGTGGTGGTTAGTGGTAAAGAGAAGCGATGGGTAGCGGTGGGTGGTAGGGTTTCAAGCGGTTCACGTGTAGAACCTCTGAAGTATGACGGCGGCTATCGTAGGAGGAGGACACGAATTCGGCAAGGTACGACACGAGCGATGTTTGCGCGATTACTCGGTAGGGGCCGATGTACTTGTAAAGGAACTTGTGAATTCGGTTGGGTTGTGGGGCGGGGTTCAAACCCACACGAGGGCACCGGGAGCGTAGGAGGTATGCGTATGATGCTTGTCGTGGCGATCCATGGCATATGTTGTTGTTCCGATGTGCGTAGCTGTGCGAGCTGGCGGCACTCTTCGGCACGGGAGATGAAATTGGTGAGGAAGTCATTTTGGTCGGCTGTCAGAGCAACGGGAAAGATGGCGTCCATAGCGCACGAAGCTTCGCGACCGTACACTAAATGAAAAGCGAAGTAGCCTGTAGTAGATTGGAGGGCAGTGTTGTAAGCGAAAGTTACAAATGAGAGTATTGTGAAACCAGTTTGAACGATCACTGGAGATAGGCATAGATATCATGTCAGCGAGAGTCTTATGGAAACGTTCGGTGAGCCCGTTTTTCCTCATGATGATATGATGATGTTGCCTTAAGGACTGCCCGATAGGCTTTCAAAATGGCTGCAAGTTTTCTCAAAAGAAACTGCCCTCCGCGGTGGCTTAAGAGAACTTGTGGCGCACCGTGACGTAGGAGTATATATGTACAAAGAATTGAGCTATTTTTTCAGATGTCGCAGAGGTCAGCGTGGTGGTCTAAGCGTATCTAGTCAAGTGGTCAACGGCTGTGACAATCGAACGATGACCATGAGAGGAAACTGAGAATGGGCCAAACAACTCAATCGCTACTCTTTCGAAGGGCGTACTGTGGCAAACTAAAGGTTGGAGTAATCCAGCAGGTGCTGTGGTTGGGCGTTTTCTACGCTGGCATTTCAAGCAGGACTGAACGCATTTAAAAACGGACATCTGAAGGTGGGGCCAAAAGTATCGTCGCCTAATTCAAGCGATTTTTTATTTAATTCCATGTGTCCTGAGGTGGGATCACCATGAAACGATTGAAGAATATCCTTGCGCATTTGGCGAGGAATGACGACTAGCCATCTGTTGAATTCAGGGGAAAAGTTATGGCAGTAGAATACACCATGTTGAAGGGAAAAGTGCTGTAACAGTTTCCGCAACTTTTTATTAAGAAAGTGAGTCGATTTATTGCGATGCTCGATTATTTCTTTGATAAATGGATCCTTGGATTGCTCTAAAGTAATATGTTCTCAGTTGACAGCGGAAACATAATATACGTCATCCATGTTTTCGAGACCTTCATCAGGGTCGTCTACGGGGCATCGAGATAGGCCGTCAGCGTCTGTATGTTGGCGACCAGATTTGTATACTACTTTATGATTGTACTGCTGGAGTGTGTGGGAGCCGGGGGTGAAAGACGAGGCAGAGGGCACGTGACAGGCGGCCGGCAGAGAAGACACGAGCTGGCGCGAGACATAGCGAGCTGAGCGAGGCTGGTAGCTGGACAAGGAACGATGAAGCCAAGCTGCCTATAGCCTGGCCCATAAAGAACCCCCGAGCGGTCCGCCAGCGAGGTCTGGAGCAAGACCGGTGGAAACGGCGAGCCCGGGCCATATGACCTGGGCTACGACGATCCTGGGGTGGTTCCGCAGCGAGACTCGGGCATTAATAGCCCGGGACAGACAGCCTACGCAGCGCTGGCGTGGGAAAGGCGATCCGCAGGCCTGGACACGGACCCCGACTGTAAGCTCTGATCGACGGGCGACAACAAGGGTCGTCGGGCCCGGACTACCGGCTCTCGACGACGGACAACCGGGAGGTACAGTAAACCCACTCGTTGTCTTCTCGTTGCTGTATGTCACTCACTGGGTGACGGGCGGAGCGCATACCGATCGGGCGACGATTATTAGTATAGAGATCCCCCCATAAGGAACCCCATAAGTGCAAGAGTCCATCGACCAAGTCTTCCAGTGAGGTCTTTTAGGGCAGAGAGCCAACATAAGGTGTGGTGGTCGGTAACGATAGTGAAATGCCTTCCATCGAGGAATGGCCGGAACATGTTGACGGCCCAAACGACAGCTAGACATTCTTTTTCTGTTAAGGTGTATTTTTCTTCAGCGGTAGAGAGCATTCGACTTGCAAAAGCGATGACGTATTCTTTTGTTGTGTTGTGGTCACGCTGCAATAGGACGACACGAAGGCCATAACCACTGGCATCGGTATGCAACTGCGTATGCGAAAAGTCATTAAAGTGCCCCGGGATGCGATCGGACTGGAGAGTGGTTTTGAGAGGATAAAAAGAGTTACGACATTTAGGGGACCAGATAAATGCTGTATCGGCTCGTAACAAACGAGTAAGTGGAGAAGCCAACTGTGCGAACTGTGGAACAAAACGACGAAAATAAGAACAAAGTCCTAGAAAACTGCGAAGTTATTAGCCATCTTTATTTACAAGGTGGCCAAGGATCTTAATTTCTCGAGAGGCGAAGCGTCACTTTTTTGTGTTGAGTACAAGGTTAGCTTTCTTGAGACAAACGAGCACATCGGAACATCGACGGAGATGGTTGTCAAGTGTACAAGAAAAGATAATAATGTCATCAAAGTAGCCAAGGCATATGTGCCAGTTAAGACCACAGAGGACGTTATCTATCATTCGCTTAAACGTTGCCGGAGCGTTTCAGTGCCCGAAAGGCATAACATTTAACTTGAAAAGACCGTCCGATGTAATAAAATCCGTGATTGTATGTCTTCGTCCTTCATTGGTATTTGCCAGTAGCCGGATTTTAAACCTACTGATGAAAAATATTTAGCTCCTCGTAACGTGTCTAATGTGTCATCAATTCGTGGAGAAGCGTATACGTCCTTGCGAAGGATATTATTGAGTCTGCGATAATCAACAAAGCAACGTATCCTGCCATCTTTCTTTTTTACAGGGACTACTGGTGAGAACCAGGGGCTCGATGATTGACGAATGATACCTTTACGCAACATACCTGATACCTCTTGGTCTGTAACACGGCGTTCTGTAGGAGAAACGCGATATGGACGCTGGTACACGATTTCTCCGCGGGGCGTATTAATCTCATGTGCCACTGACTTTGTCGAACCCGTAAAGGACGTATAAACATCGAAGCACGATGTGAAGCGATTGATTAAATGAATAATTGCATTTTAGGAGTGTCGGCAAGGTTCGGACCGATTGCGTTCAATAATATGTTGTTGGAGGTAATGGGAAGCGCTCGAGGATCAAAATTACATGTGGATTAAAGTGACGCAAGTTCCAAAGAGGCATGAGGTTCGATGTTTGCGACGATTGTACTCTTTACGAAAACCAGTGGCTGATGTGTTACGTTACAGACAGGCAGCACTATGCTCCCAAGGGTAAGTGTAGAAATAGAATGGGGTATAATAAGCCCGTGCGATAGTAAGAGGGTTGATAAGGGAGTTACTAGAAAAGTGCCTGCAACACTTGTTTCACTCGAGAAATTCATGACAAAAAATGCTTGAGGGTGAATGACTGTGCCTTCACAGGCACGTAATTTGGTTCTAGGAATACTGGAGTTAGATTCTCAGCTATTTGAATCTTTCAAAACAAACCCTTTGCAGCTAATGACAGCTTCCGCAGTGTTAAGAAAATCCCAGCCGAGATTGAGATCGTGCGTTCAAGATGATAAACCAACGAATTGAATTCTGTGGCCCGTACCCTGTATGAAAACACGTGCCGTGCATTGGGCTGTTGGGTGAATCATGTCAGTTGACGCTGCCCGCAATGAACAACCATGAAGGAAGTTCTTACTTTACGAAGACGGATGCAAACGTCCTCTCTAATCACAGAAGTAGGCGCCCTGTGTCAACCAAGGCGTACAGAAGTAAGCCTTGGCATCTAAGCTCATTTCAATGAGCTTAGATGGGTAGGAGGGAGGATGATGAAGACGTTTTTGTGACGCAGTTGCTCCTCCGACAACTGCGGTGGCTAGTTTTCCGTGTGAGACCTCGCGTCTCTCCTTGAGACCATGGGCGATTAGGATCGGGGATATGGGGACGGGGAGCGGCGGCGAGCAGCCTGTGGACGACGTGCTCGATAAGGGTCCGGGGGCGGGGATTGATCGCGCGGCTCCCTCCTGAACTGTCGGCGGCTTCGGTCTCGGTTGTATTAGTAGTCATGGGTTGCAAGGTTCTGTTGTAGTCTCCAGCGTACTCGTGCGACGTGGCCGGCAATTCCACAGTAACAGCAGACTGGCCTCTGTCGATATCCCCAAGATGCTTTGTTATCATAAGTGGGGCGACTGCGTCCGGCGGGTAAAGAACCCCCAGTGAAGGCAGGGGAGGTGGAAGCCAGAGCAAGAGTATCCGAGGTCATTTGAGGAATTTCTGAACGAAGCGTTTCATCGGAACAACAGACGCTGTCCGTGATGGAAAAGGGAGTCGCTGTCGGTGGGACTACGGAAGCAAGCTCCTGTTGGATAATACGTCGCAACCCGGTGTCGTCGGTCTCAGGCGTGGAGTTGCTTGTAGTTGGTCAGAGAAAACGGGCAAGATCATCTGGTACAATTTTTTGTATTATCTGCTTGAGAGAGTCAGTGGATATAGAATGCAGTGCATACGACGAGCTGTCGTGCAGAGCTCGGGCTTGAAGGTGGGAATTCCGGGCCTCATCTAGCCGCTGACAGTGCCTAGTGATGTCCTTCACTGTCGTCGGGAAATGCACGAGAAGGACAATAAAAGCCTCTTCAGAGATGACTTTCATAACATGGCGGACTCGGTCGGCCTCGGACATGTCTTTGTCATATCGGCGGCAAAGTGAAAGAAAGTCTTCAATATAAGAACTGTACGCCTCGCTAGATGTCTGGATCCTGGCTGCCAAATTACGCTCAGCTATAGCTTCACGATTAGTGGGTTTTACAAAAATTTCCGGCAGCTGAGTTTTGAATTGGAGCCACGTTGCCATTTCAATTTCGTGGTTCGTGAACCGTATTTTCGCCACATCGGAGAGATCAAAAATAGCGTTGCGCAGCTTTGCTTGGTCGCCCCACTTGTTGTAAAGGCTCACCCGCTCATAGACGCCCAGCCAGTACTTTACGTCATCCTCGCGGAGTCCCGCGAACGCTTTGGGACGTCACAGCTGGCTGGGGGCAGGACCGACGGAAGCTGCAGGGACACCGGAGGAGGATTTGCCAGTGCTGGTCATCGTCGCTGGTCGCCTTCTGGGACGAAGCTCCAGAGTGATAGGAACGCCGGTACTGAGATGTGGCGACCCCGCACCTCCACCAATGATGTGGGGAAGACAGAGGCTTGACGAGCGGTTTCAATTATGTTTATACTCGAACTGAACCGCGCTACCCCGAGCGGGCAACGCGAGCTATCGGCGATGGTGGTGATGATGACGATAATGAGGCTGATGGCTGCACGGGACGATGGATGGTCACAATCACGGTGTAAGATACACTCTCTAGGTGGGGACACAGCGGGGCTGAACGGGTGGCGCGAGAAATCAGATAGTGTTCGTTCAAGAGGCATCCGAAAGGCTGCATCATCCCGCGGCCAACGTGCCCGCGGCTGACAGTGTCGGCGGCTGCCAAACGGCGAAGCTGTGTGAGAGCGAAAAAGATTATCTCGTTGCCATGACACCCCGGCACGCAGTGGTCTTTCTGCACGTGCGGCAACCTTTCTGGAGCTCTGCGCGTGTGCAGCCTGAGGCGGCACGAGCCGTCTTTGCCGTTCCACGGGTCGACGAGTCATCTGCCGGCGCGTCTTGAAACCATAGTGAGAGAGAGAAAGAGAGAGAGTGAAAAGCGAACTTTATCTGCACTGCGCGAGGAGCGCGCTGTCCTCACCTGAAGCGTCCTATTTTACACCGTGGTGACAATATATATAGTTATTA